TGATCGAAAGAACTATCCAGTTTCATCCTACTGATGTGAAGATAAGTGGTGTGGTCACACATTTCTATTTCTTTTCTTTCTTTGCTAATGAGAACAATTGCAGCCTTTCAGTTACAAGTTTTTTTTTTTCTACCAGAGAGGCAAGATCAGAAAGCTATGAAGATGGAAATTTGTGAGAACTGCTTAGTCCCAGGCTACTTTAAATCCATTCAAACTACCACAGGGCCTTTGCATTAGCTATTCTCTGCCTGGAACACAACATGACCAACTTTATGCTTGCTCCCTCACTGCATTCCGGCCTCGGCTCACATGTGAATACCCCAGAGAAAAGTTCTCAAATGAGCTATTTCAAGTAATCCAAAATAATGTCCTACTCACATTCTAGCTCCCTACTCTTCCAGTTTGCTTAACAGTAATTTTCACCACCTGAAATTATATTGTGCTTTTGTTTGCTTGTTTACTTTCTGACATCCCCCAAAGAGTATAAGCTCCAGGCAGGCAGGACTTGTTTGGTTCACAATTTCTTTAGGCCCCCAGCAGCGCCTGATACATGGCAGCTGCTCAATACCCACGTTAGATGAATGAATGATTGTATGATGAATGATCTCAGTTGGGGTCTCTTTAATTTTAAAAAAAGGTAGAGGCTAAGCTAACAGTTTTGTAATAGTTTTGTTCTATTGACGAATGGGGTGACCCAGCATTGATAATGCACTTATAGTTCATAGGAATTATTTGTCTTTCTTTCCTGCTACACTGTAAACAACTTGGGAGCAGGGACCTGGGAGTCTGGATCACCCCTATACTCTTGGTACCTGATACTATGTAAGAAGGAAAGTATAAAATTCATTTCTAGAATTTGATTAAAATATGAAAGGTGAGAAGGAGAAGAGAGAAGGGGTTCCTAGCAGCGGGAAGAGCTTAGCGAAGACCTCTGTCCTTGATAACAGGAACAGTCAGATGAAGGTACTTGTGGCTGGGGTAGAGCAAGAGGGGGCAGGGAACTAAGGGTGGCTGGAGATGGAGTAGGGTTGGCTACACTGGAACTTCACAGGCTTACAGACATGGCTGGTTAAAAGTTTTAGCTTTATCTTAGGAGTGAAAAAGGACCTTTTTTGCCTTGTGCACGTGCTAGTGACATGATCGTATTTGTCACACAATAAATCTCTGCTCCAGTCCGCGTGGGAAGACCAGGCAGGAGGCTGAGCTGACCAGGCTAGAGAGCTGGCCATTGGACTTAGTCTATCTGGATGGTAAGCTCCAAGAATGCAGCTTGCTCTGTGCCATTCATAGGAATATTCCCAGCACTGAGAACAGTGCCTGTCACCTCACAGATACCCAACCAGTGTTTGTTTAGTGAATGAATGACATAGTGGTTAGAAATCAAGAAAATAGTGTTGTAATTACTAGGAGTTAAAACTAACGGGACATGATGAGGACTGGGTGCTGAGTATGAGAAAGAAAAGTCAACTCCTACCATTCTGTTTTGTGTAACAATGGATAGAGGTGTGTTGCCATTTTCTGTGACAGGAAGTAGCAGAGGAATCTATATTTTGTGTGTTTCTTATCCTCTTTGTTACACTGAGAGTCAGGACCTCCTCGCTGTCCCCCCTGGGCAGGCCCTGCTGAAGGTGGCTGCACTCTTTATGTTGGTGTACAGCTGAGGAGCTCTTGCATCCCTGAAACCTTATCAAGGATTTCAACAGGCCTATAGTTTTATCATGTCAAATATATGCGAAGTCAGTGGAATGGCCAGGAATATTGTAGGTCAGGAAAAGTATGAAGGATAAATGATCACTCTCAATAAGCCTCAATAACCAGAGGCTTCCTATTGAGAAGTTAAAATGACACCCACCTCTGCCTCCAAAACTTTATTCCAGTGTCTGTGGATAAAAATGATAAGTTTGGCCAGGTGTTTTCTTTTTAGTTTTAAGCAACTATTTTCTGAGTGATATTGTATGGGGAAAGTATCTTCTCAATCCAGATTTCCTGTGAATAAAAGCTCAACAGTGTCACTCCTAATTATACTGTTCAAATCTTTTCAGATATGTTAGGGATATCCTGATTTTGTTAAGTAAGTATGTAAATAAGGTATATGTAGGTATAAAGATACATGATGGTGAAAGTATGTGTATGCCGTGATTTGCACATCAAAGACATCTTTACAGACACATCACCCAAAGCAGTGATAGTGAAGGCAAAGATAAACAGCTGGGACTATATCAAATTAAAGAGCTTTTGCACAGCAAAAGAGACAATAACAAAAACAAAGAGAAACCCCACCAACTGGGAGAACATTTTTGCACCCAACACTAATGATAAAGGACTGATCACAAAAATCTGCAAAGAGCTGATGAGACTCAACAACAACAAAGAAAATAATCCAGTCAAAAAATGGGCAGAAGAGCTTAAAAGAAACTTCTCTGAAGAGGAAATGCAAATGGCCAACAGGCATATGAAAAAATGTTCAACATCACTTGTCATCAGGGAAATGCAAATCAAAACTACCATGAGATACCATCTTACACCAGTGAGAATGGCACATATTAAAAAAACTAGCAACAACAAATGTTGGCGAGGGTGTGGAGAAAAAGGAACTCTTCTGCACTGTTGGTGGGAGTGCAAACTGGTCCAACCACTGTGGAAAGCTGTGTGGAGATTTCTGGACCTACTAAACATAGAGCTTCCATATGACCCAGCAATTCCACTCCTAGGTATTTACCCAAAGGACACAGAAACATCAATTCCAAAGAACACCTGCACCCCTATGTTTATAGCAGCACTGTTTACAATAGCTAAGCTTTGGAAACAACCCAAATGCCCAAAAATAGATGACTGGATCAAGAAGATGTGGTACATATATACCATGGAATATTACTCAGCATTCAAAAAAGATAAACACATGCAATTTGCTGCAACATGGATGGCGCTGGAAGGGATCATGCTCAGCGAAATAAGCCAAAAGAAAAAGAAAAATACCGGATGGTCTCACTCATAGCAGGAATCTAGAAAACTTAAATAAGGGACCAGGAAAATGAATAACTATAAGAAAGTGAAAATCAAAATCAACAAAAAACTATGAACCAGAGACACTTTTAGGGGGGCGGGGGCGGGAGGGGAGGGATTGGGGTCAGAATGGGGGGCTGCAATTGTATGGGGAATATAACAATAAAATTTAAAAAAAAAAAAAAAAAGAAAGTATGTGTATGCATGTGTGCATTTACAAATATATACACACACTAAAATGGTATGGTTATTTCTAATTAGTGAGATTATGACTGTTTTTAATTTTCCTCTTTATTTTCCATAATGGACATGTGTTACTTTTATAAAGATACAAACACTGTTTTTAATATCACACCTTATTTGTAACATGAGGTGCTACTCAGAAACCATGTATCTATTTATGTTTAGTCCTTAGCTCACTTGAACCATCAGATTTAGGAGTAAACATGGATTTCACAAACAGACCAAGTAGTCAACAGGCTGAGTCTCAAAAGATGAAGGAAATCAAAGTGATTCACTTTGATTTGTGACAGAGTTGCTTTGCCTGACAACTGGACTATTAAAAATGACCTAGAATCCTGGAAATGAAGGAATTGTTTTCTAGGAGCCAGACCATTTGAAGACTGAATATGTTAAGCTTAGGCAAGAAGAGATTAGAAGAATCTTTTTGTTGTGTTCTGATGTTGGTTTCCTTAATCTGCCCACTTCAGAAAAGGCTATTTTTTTTTTTTTAACTGAAAATGTAATTGAGAACGATCTTTTAAAGGTTAGACATGCATAAGTTTTTGTTTGGGGTAGAGGCCACATGACTCTAGTTACTGTACCTCTAGTGCTATTGGGAATGAGCAGATACAGCCCACAAGGCCCAAATCAGCCCTGATGAGAAACTCCTGCATGGAGGTAGCCAACTCCCTGGCCTTGGTCGCGCGAGGACCTGAAATTACTGGAATCATTTCTGTGTAGACACTGCCATCAGCAAATGGCAATTTGAGGAGCAGAGTCATTGTCTGAGAAAACTTGGAATGAAATTACAGGGTGGTTGGTGTTATTGGAAAAGTTGAGCGAACAGTTGAGTATAACTTGGGAATGGGTCATGAAATGGATTATTTAGGAAAAGAGCGGTATCATTATGACACTCCCTTTTAAGCAGTATTTAGGAAGTAAAAAATCAAGAATCATTTTTTTTTTTTCTCAAGGAGGTAAATATACTATACTGGAGCTAGACAGTTTTGGTTTGAATCTTGACCTTGGGCAAATTACTATATCTGTTTCTTCAGTAGTAAAATGAGGGAAATAAGTGTTATTCCTTGATAGAGTTATGGTCATGATTAATGAGATAATACATGCGAAAGTACAGTGCTGAGTGAATGCTGACTGTGCTTGGGGTTGCTGCATGCACGTGTATGTGTATATGTATATACACATGTATAGGGCAGGTGAGTCTCCTGTGTCCTCTCTTCTGGGCTGGCAGGCATTGTCATGAAATGGAATGAAGTAGATAAACGGCAGTTGGCAATAAGATCATGTGATGTCTAAAGGATGGGTAGACTGTGTGTTCTTCATGTTTGTGTGGGGAATATAAGAGTGACATGATCGATTGCAGCTATGTCACACTTGGGTTATTATTTATGTTTGTTTTTTATTGAAGGATGAGAGAGATTCATAGGCTAGAAGGAGGGAATATTTATAAGAGCTTGGTGAAATCAGTTAGTTGTTTCACAGTTAACTTAGTTTTGAAGCACAATAAATTATCGCACTTCAGGACTGCTTAGGTGGTCATATTGAATAACTGATGGGGAAATGCTTTTTAAAAGTTGAAATTAGTACATATACAAAAGATAGCTGTATGACTTATTTTTGTCATCTTATAATTGAATGATTTTGTATCTTATAATTTGATTAGACACAGATGCAATTATAAATTTACCTAAAAGCTCTAAGACACAGGATACAGAAAGATCACCATTTAGGACAATAAGCAGTGGTCCCATACATACCATCTCTGTGAACCGATCTGCACAGGCCATTCTAACCCACTCTGGCGTGGCAGGGCTCTTCACTATGAAGTCCCCAGCCACATCTCTTTCTCTGCGTGCCATGGCCACAGCATCAACGATGGCAAAGAACACAGATGACCCCAGGAACATCCCGGACTCCCCCAGGCCCTGCAAGAAATCACATTTGCTTCAGCAGCTTCTATGCTAGACTAAAAGACACCAGAGGTCATCAGTCAGGTCCTGTTCTATTGTCTCTCCAAAGACTGACACAGTATCTTGCATAAAATAAAAGGTTCTCAATGACTGTTTGTTGATGGATTTACAGACTGAAGTCTGTGTGCTCTTCAAAATCCCATTACCACTCAAACCTCTCGTGTTTAATCCTCTCTTGTCTTTAGTTAGGTTAAATCTTTGCTCAATGGAAAAGGGTGTGTGTGTGTGCATGTGTGTGTGGTGAGGACAGGTTACCCTATTTAGAAAAACACATTTAATGATTTGAACTGGCCAACTTCATGAGTGGAGTTAAATATGCCTTATGACTCCAAGATTAGGGGAGACTGGGTGATCTGGGAGAAAGAGCACCTACAGATTTTGGTGCCAGATGATAGGTTGCAAATCCATCATCTGCAAGAAACAGGGAGGTAATATAAATGAGCGATTTGGGCAGGTGAAGGACAATAAGGAAAAATGGACACTATGGTGAAGTAGAGATACCCTCACATCTTGCCTTAAAGGAGCTGCCTTCTAGAAATGCAGCCCAAGTGATCAGATGATCCAACTTTTCAAGAGAATTTAGACATTTGTATTTTAATGTAAACGTCCCTAACTTTTAAAAACTCTGTGCAGGTCAAAGAAAATACCTGGGCAGGTTAGATTTGGCCAGTTGGCTCCCAATTTGTAACCCCTGACTTAAGAGAGGCAAGCCCTAGCTTTAATCCTGGTCCTCGCTCCTTGCATCTCTGGGTGAGATATCACTCCCAGCCCCGTTTCTTTCTCAGTGAAATGTGGGCGGTATCAACTGACAGGGTGTAGTAAAGTTCAGCAAATGCAAATGTATTCAGCACCTTGCCTGGGGCCTGGCTGGCCTCTGTCATTATCATATAGCAAACCTGGGACTTTTCTGAGGGCCTGCTGTGAGCGGCTGTCACAAGGACCCTAAGGGTCCTCCTGCCTGCCCTGTTATTCTTCCTGGCCTGACAACTGCTCTCTATGGGTGCTGAGCTTCCTTTTACATTTTTTCTCTTGAGTGATTTCCAGTCTAGTGAGAATCTAATGGCCCGCTGACTGTCTTTCCTTTCAAATTTATCCTCCTCTTATCCCCTCTCCCCATACACCCATCGCTATACACCTGAAAGGAGGTCCTGGGTTGGAAATGGGGTGCAGTTTGAAAATGACAAAATTCTGGCATATATGTGGATTAATTACCAACCCTAGTAAGAAGTTCCCCAAAAGAGTAACGAAAAATTTAACAAAACACCTCAAATCTAAATGAAGTTTCTACTTCCAGGGTAGTTTTCCCATAATTTGTATACAGTAATGTGAGCAAGTGCTGATCTTTATTTTAATTTGCAATTTTACTACTTTAGCAATGACTAAGCATTGATGTCTTTGTTTCCCAACACTGTGGACATTTTGAGCCAGGTAATTCTTTGTTGGTGGTGAGGGAGGTGTGGGGGTGTCTGCTTTGTATACTGATATTTGTTTAGCAGCTTCCATCCCTGGCCCCGACCCACTAGAAGGAACATCTCCCTTCCAATTGCAACAACAATATCTCCTGACACTGTCCAGTGTTCCTTGGGGAGGGAAGGAAAATTGCCCTCACCTCCCATTGAGAACCAATGCTTAGATCTGTAACAGGGTGGTTCCCAGGAAAGGGGAATGTTCCAGGTTTCCTGCTCCACCCAAGGGAGGGTGGAGCTAAGCAGGGAGAGAATAAGCTGCAGAGGAGATGGAGGAAGGAAGGAAGCAGGATGGAGCCAGAAAGAGACCTGGAGGAGGCACATAGAACAGAGGGACACGTGAAGAAACTGTGTTTGCTTTTTGGTTGTGGACTGGGTGACACAGATGTGAGTGAGAGACCCGTGGGGAGGTGACAATGGCAGTTTTTGTCTTGATTTTGATTTTGCTCTTTTCCCTCTAGACTTGTCTGGTTGTTTTGATCCTTTTCTGTGGGTCCCCACTGGAAGATGCTTTAGACTTGTGGCAGGCTTTGGGGCCTTGCTCTGGGCCAATCCCATTTGGATGGACTTTTACCCATGAGGGGACGGGTAACTTTGGGTGCTTGATTTAGAAACTATATTCTTTGCCTTTCCTGTATTGTTTCCTAATTGTATTAAAGTTCCTTCCCATTAAAGTCTCATTTGTTTTGTGTTGATGTGGTGCATGGCAGAAGCTATTTAGAGCAGGCAGGTTTGCAGGGTCTGGGGTGCCTCTCTCCTTGCCCTATAATAAATTCACATCTGGGCAGGGCTCAAGACCCTGGCTCCCTCACACGTGAATGATTTGCCTAAGTTCATAGTGAGCTTCTGGGGCTGGGGCAGGAACCTAGGTCTTCTGTGGCCTCAGTCCAAGATTCTTTCCATGCTGCCTCTGCTTTCTAAGATTTTAGTGCCATCGTGCTTCAATCCCATTTAATATTTTAGTCTAAGGCGCTTAAGTAAAAATGTTATTCTCCCTGAGCAAAGCTTTTTGATGAATGTAAAGCTTTCAGTGAAAGAGGATATTAATAAATAAAATATTTGGCCTAGAATTGCCATTGGGTGAATCATTTCTTTTCTCTGAATCTCACTTTTCTTTTACAGTCTATCCAAATTTTGTCCCGATAAAGGTTGATCTTTATTTTTTATTTTGTCCACCTGCTCTCACTTACAACACTAGGGCTGGGGAGCTTACCTTGGATGAATAGATGGTGAGTGGGGTTGTTGATGACGGCAACAAGGAGATGTTGAACTCCTCTGGGACGTCAGTGATGGTGGGGATTTTGTACTCATCCGGGCCTCGAGTATACAGGACACCTTCCGGGGAATAGTTCAGCTCTTCAGTGGTATAAAGGCCCATCCCCTGAATAAATGCACCTTCAATCTGAAGGAGGGCAATGTCAGGCTTTGTGACAGTGTATGCCTTTTAGAAGGCTTTGACCTACCCCCCATGAGTCTCAGGAAGGGCATCTTCTAAGTGGCCAAGCACCTACCTGCCCAATATCAATGGCTGGATTTAGGCTATAACCAGCGTCCATGACAATGTCCGTTCTGATTTTCTGTCAAAAATTAAAATGACCTCATCATAAAAATTTGAAGGAAAATACTGTTTTAAGGTTTATTCTGTTAAAAAGAAGACAGTAGGCCCCAACCGGAGTCACTTATGCTGAAACCAAGACTTAGCATCTAACTTAATTGTGATTTCAACCCCTCACAGTCCAGGCATTTTAAACCAGTAAGTTTGAAATTTCCAGATCAGTACTAGTGAGGTAAACCACCTGATAAGACCCTCCCACTCCTTCCTTTAAGGGAAGGTAACCTTGGCCTGAAATGATTCTTTTCTTTTGTTAAAAGCCTCTTTGTCCCAACTTCTTTCTGCTTATAAAAGCCTTCTAGTTTGTATAAATCCTTGGAGCATCTTTCTAATTGCTAGGTAGGTTGCTGCTGCCTAACTCATAGATTGTTTAATAAAGCCAATTAGGTATTCAGTTTTAGTTGGGTGAAAACTTTTTTTTTTTTAAATAATTCAAATGGTCTCCAGTTATTCCAGAATCCCTACTAACTGATTAACACTGCTTTGAAACCCATGAACATTAGAGGTGGCAAGACATCTGCCAAGCTCTTCAAATCTAGGACTGCACGTAACTACAGAAGGTCTTTCCATTCATGGTTTTTTGACACCTAAGTGACTCCAAAGTCCATGGTTTGTTGGTGTGCCTGAAGACCAGTTAGTAAATAATTGAGCTGATTGTTCATCTGATTCTCAACTTGGATTTACTGTTCTAACATAACTCATGAGCTCACCTAGTTCTAATGATAGTTTTATTGAGGAACTCATATAGCTGCATTGGCATGTGTGAAAGTGGGGGTTCTACATGACCTTAGAACACATGAAAGGCAAATTTTGAGACCACTTTTGACTTTGCTAATCTACTTCCTTCCCTGAGAAACATCACCATCTGTTCTGTCCCAAGCCAGGAGCATGCACATTGTCAAGAAGACACAGAGAGCCCCTCAGTAACTGTGGTCTATTTCAGGAATCTTTGAGCTTTCCTTCTGCCCTTACTTATGGAACTTGTTCTGCCAATATCATCCTTCTCTGTCTAGGCTCAATGCCATGGCTTCTAATTTAGGTCTGTGATTCTCTATTGACTCAAATGCTGGCCTCTGGGACAACCTATATGGGCACTGGGACCCGCCTTCACTCACCTCTTGCCCCAACCTATTTCTTTAGGACCGATGATACTCTTGGGATAATTGAGAGAAACATTTTTACATTGTTATGCACTTTCAAAATGTCTATTTTAGACAATGTACTAAATTGCCTATGCCTTCAGTTTTGATAACTTAGCCTTTTTTTTGGAGTATAACTCCCCTCCTTTTTTTTGGCAAAACTTTGGAATTGGAATAAAAAAAACTTGATACATTTTAGGCTGTCATGAATAATTTCTTTTTGACTACTTTTCAAATGGAAATTCAGGATAAGTCAGATTCTCTAGACTTTCCCATGGAAATGAAAGAATCCTGTTCTTATTGTACAAGTGTCACATAATAAAATTATGTAGGTGATATTATTGCTGTTTTACTGAGAAAATCATATATCCAAGGTGACATATATGAATTTGAGGGGATTTAATACACAATGCAATACTGTTGTTTCATCTTGCCAAGAGGAAAGTTATATTTGACTTACCCTGTGAGCTCCTGTCAGACAGTCAATTTCAACCTCAGAACAGGCAGCTCCATAAACATAGTATGGAAATGGGTCTCCCTCTCCCTTCTTCCAGTCCATGAAAGCCTTGTAGCCCCTGACGGAAAAAAATAAAGCCCTTTAGCTTGGTGGTGGTTGTGGTAGTAGTAGTAGTAGTAGTAGTAGTAGTAGTAGTAGTAGTAGTAGTGTGTATACAATGTCTATTCATTTAAAAAATACCAAAGTTATAAGATTGTTGTTCATTTCAGCTGCCTTTTAAACTTATCTAAACAGCTACCTATATTTACAATCTAACTCATTACAACATAACTATCATTTGCCCTTATTTTTTTTTTTCCCTGGGGCAGCTTTTCCTCCCTGCTTGTGTCTATGCAAGTGTCTTTCACTGTTTTATCCCTTTGCTAATAAACCTGCCCTTTAAATATAACTAATGTCTCTGTCTTGTGAAACTCGCCTGGGAAACTTGCTGTGTGCCACTGAACTGGGAGCTCTGGAGAAAGCTTTCCCAGAGTGAACCCAAGGACCCGCACTCCAAACACACAGACTCCAAAAACCACAACAAAACCATTTGACATTTATCTTTCTCCTTGTGACTTATTTTGCTTAGCATAATCCCTTCAAACTCGATCTATGTTGCTGCAAAGGGCATGAGTTTATCTTCTTTTGTTCACTGAGTAGTATTCCATTATGAATATATACTACATCTTGATCCTTGCATCTGCTTTGGGACATTTAGGTTGTTCCATGTTTGGCTATTGTAAATAGTGCTGCAATAAACATAGGAGTGCAGGTTTCCTTTCAGATTAATGTTTTTGTGTCTTTTAGGTAGAGTACTAGGCAATGCAAGCACTGGGTCATATGGTAGAGCCATTTTTAGTGTTCTGAGAAACCTCTACAACTCTTTCCACAGTGGCTGGACCAGTTTGAGTTCCCACCATCAGCAGTGTAAGAGGGTTCCTTTCTCTCCACATCCTCAGCAGCATTTGTTGTTTCTATTTTTTTTTAATGTGGCATTTGCCCTTGTTTTAAAGAGGATGCTTGGTGTGCTGCAGTTGGCATGCTAAAAAGAATTGTTTGGTCCGAACTTTTCAGTAAGTGATTTCAGGTTTGAGCGATAGCTATCATGCTGAGAATCTCAACTGACTTTTATTGATATCCTCAGAGGAACCCCTTAGACTGTAATAAGCAAACTTATAGAAGACTGATGCTAATTCAATGTGTTCATTTAAAATGGAAGATGTACAGAGGGCTGAATTGCTCTCATTTTGGGTTACAGAATTCAGAAATTTAGAAGATATTATGTACACAGCACTGGGATATGCTGTTACCTTCTTTCTTTTCTTCTTTTTTCTTTCTTTCTTTTCTTTTTTCTTTCCTTCTCTTCTTCTTCTTTCTTTCTTTCCCTCCCTCCCTCCCTTCCTTCCCTTCTGATTTACTTATGCATACAAGAACCGGGGTACAGGCCAGATGCACGGGATGGTGAGAGGATTTACCAGAGACAGAGTTGGGAGCAGAACAGGCAGACTGACTGAAATACACTGCTGAGGGGAGCAGCGGGCAAGACAGGAGAGGTCTGCCGCGCCATGTGGGATTCTGCGGACAGCTTCACAGCACTGTGCTCAACCGCCTACACTACAAGTGAGGCCCTCTTTCTTTGTTTATGAGATTTGCTTTATGTGTGTGTGCGTGTAGTTTCTTGCTTTTGTTTCATTAGATTGTAAACTGATGTCATACACTTCCTGAACTGATAACTAGCTCTCCTTTCTGCGCTTCATCCAATTAACATGCATTTCCTGAGTGTCCCCCACTGCCAGACACTCCTCAAACCCTTCAAGGAGCCTCAAGATAAAGAGGTTTTAATTAGGGCCTCCCTGGTGGTGCAGGCGGTTGAGCGCAGTGCTGTGAAGCTGTCCGCAGCCTCTGCAGTGCTGGTTCGATCCCCGCCAGCCTCAGAACAACCCACATGGCATGCAGACCTCTCCTGTCTCCCCCACTGCTCCCCTCAGAAGTGTACTTCGGTCGATCTGCCTGTTCTGTTCCCTGCTCTGTCTCTGGTGAATCCTCTTACCCTCTTACACATCTGGCCTGTACCCTGGCTCTTGTATAAATAAAATAAATCTTTAAAATAAATAAATAAATAAATAAATAAAAAGCTTTTAATTAGTAAAAGGAGGGAGATTTGCAAAATTGAGTTGCACGTTATTTCTAATGACGTCTCTGTACTACTCATGATAAAAACGATAGTAAATAACAGTGTTGTAATAGATGTTGTAAGTCATGCTTTAATTTTTTTTAAACTTACTAGGGGTATTTTTATGATTTAATATTTCTTTGAATATAACTCAAAGGTCTATGTGAAGTCATAAAATTTGGGCCTATAAGGGACTTCGGAGATCACATCATAAAAACTTGTTACACAAACGAGGGAATTTAGGCCCAGAACAAAGGGATGGTTTTATATTTTCTCAGTTAAATAAAAGCATCATTGTGCCCCCAAACAGATGACTAGATAAAAAAAGATGTGGCATATATACACAATGGAATACTATTCAGCAATCAAAAAAGACAAACTCATGCCATTCACAGCAACATGGATGGAGCGGGAAGGGATCATGCTCAGTGAAATAAGACAGAAGGAAAAAGAAAAATATTGGATGGTTTCACTTATAGGAGGAATATAAGGGAACCTAACAAGGGACCAGGAGAAACCAAAACCAAAATAAAATTAGCAGGCAAAAGCTAAAACAGGACATTCAATAGGGGAGGGAAAAGGAGAGGGATCAGAACAGGGGAGGGAAAGAGCACAAAGACTATGACAGTTTACAGGTTACATGGTGGGATTTTTATGGGGGTTACACCTGAGAGGAGAAAGCAAACACTGTACAACAATGAACAATGATGTAAATAATACATATAAATTAAAAAAAATCAAAGCGTTATTGTAATTTTTACCTGAAGTATCCAGTGGCTGAAAGACTGATTCTTTGTTCAAAAGCAGCTTGTATCTGTAGAATGGGCATATTTGGTCAAAATGAAATAAACATACCAGGCCTCCTTGGTGGCACAAGGGGTTAAGATGCACCCTATGAAGCTATCCACAGCCACTGCAGCATGAGTTTGATCCCCTGGCCAGCGAGCTACCCACATGGTGAGCAGACCTCTCCTGACTCTCCCACTGCTCCCTTCAGCAGTATATTTCAGTCAGTCTGCCTGTTCTGTTCCCCACTCTGTCTCTGGTGAATCCTCTCGCCCCCACACCTCTGGACTGTACCACAGTTCTTGTATGCATAATAAATGTTTAAAAAAATGAAATAAGGCCCTCCCTTGGTGGCACAGCGGTTGAGCGCTGGGCTGAGAAGCTGCCCGCAGCCTCTGCAGCGCCGGTTCGATCCAGCCACCAGGGATCTGGTGTGACAGATCTCTCCTGTTGTGCCCACTGCTCCCTCAGCAGTGTATTTCGTCACTCTGCCTATTCTGTTCTCTGCTCTGGCTCTGGTGAATTCTCTCACCCTCCCACACTTCTGATTGTACCCAGTGCTTGTATAAATAAATAAATAAATCTTTAAAAAAAAAGAAATAAATATACCATAGAATAAATAAACACAAAAATACCCTATATATCAAAATTGATATCCGATCATTTTTGGTGCTATGTTACCAATAATAAAACTCATCATTTTTACTTCAGTTGGTACACTAACAGTTTCCTTCTGATTGAGTTCAGAAGCCTGAATTAAACAAATAAAATAGAATCCTGGTACACATTTATGGTTCAGAGCTTAGGTTACAAGGTATTAGGGGTTTCATTTCTAATGTTAAGACTAGTAAGTGTGTGTGTGTGTGTGTGTGTGTGTGTGTATGTGTGTGTGTAACTGTGAGAAAACTCTTCTAACAAAATAAGAGTATTGTAAAGTTGGATTAAATATCATTTCCCTTGAGCCATATTCAATAGCAGTTATACTTTTTAGTTTCCTCCCCCTTCTCAAAACATAAATATTTTTTTCACGGCTTCAGAAGACTCAGTCTTTTCCTTTTCCTATAGAAGGAGGGTGGGTGTGACCTTCTGGCATTGTCCATACACCTCATTTCCCCTGTCAGGGATGCTGGTCCCTGAGAGCTCGCTCCACAGGCACCTGCTCATGTAATCATGGAGCGGCCTTCTCAACATTTGGTGATGCTATCCTTCTGCAGAAACCCACTGTCAGAAGAGCTGTCTCCACACAGGGTGGCATGCCTGGTGCTCTTAGTCCCGCTTTGGATGGTTTTTTCATTTGTAGTAACAATGAGAGGAAAACAACTTACCCAGTCTTCCCAGGTACCTTCTGGATTTTTCTTAATGACAGGTTCAAGGCGTTTCAGAAGGATCTGACAGGCATTCTTGATGGAATAAAGAAGTGAAATCCCCATTAGGGAGGAGCCAGGTAGTTAGATTTGTGTGGAAGAATGTCAATAGATAATTGACTAGGTCCCTTATGTTTCCCTTTGGTCCTGGGAATTTTAATTATATTCATGTCCTTAATGTCTTCTCTTTTTCTACATTATTTACTTATATCTTCTTTCATATTTTCCAGTCATAAATAAAATTGGAACAAAATGTCTTATTTTCATTCATATTTGTGCTTTCCAATCTGTACCGATGACATGTCAATATCCCTCTGGGTCTAAAACATGAGTCAACTTTTTGTCCATCTTCCATCTATTCATCCTCCCACCATCAAACTATTGCAATGAAGGACTTTGCTTTAGTTGTGAGGTAAGAAATAGTGAAATCTTATAATAACAACCTAGACCCACAAAATTTCTGACTTAAGATAAATCTAAAACTCAGTACCCTTGAAGGTGTATTGGCACTTAATTTGTGTTGACAACTCCCATAAATACCGAAATATGCAAGTCTCGTGTTTGATCCCACCCCAAGTTGATCTGATGAGTTTAAGATTCTCCACTTTGTTCTGAGAAAAAGGACTCTGGTGTATGAGACCCTAAGAGGAGACCCTACAAAATAAGACAGATTTGAAAGTGACTTCCCTCCGTGGCATAAGTGCTGTGTCCTGGGAGTGAGGGACTGTGCTTCCCCACAACACTTCTGTTATAAAGCAGCTTATAATAGAAACAGATAAATAGATACTGCTTTAAAGTATATGCAAACAGGGCCTCCCCGGTGGTGCAGCGGTTTGGTGCAGCGATTTGAGTGCAGCGCTGTGAAGCTGTCCGCAGCCTAAGCTGTCCACAGCCTCTGCAGTACGGGTTTGATTCCTGGCCTGCCAGGAGATACCCGCATGGTGCGGCAGACCTCTCCTGCTTTGCCTGCTGCTCCCCTCAGCAGTGTTTTTAGGTCCTTCTGCCTGTTCTTCTCCCTGCTCTCTCTGGTGAATTCTCTCACCGCCTTGCACCTCTGGCCTGTATCCCAGTGCTTGTATAAATAAATAAATCTTAAAAAAAATAAAGTATGTGCAAACAGGATTTTGAATTAAAGAATATGAAGTCATGGTTCTACTCTGCATAAGTAAAGATGTAACAATTTTAAAAATTTACATGGGCCAAAAATAATTCCAAAGAAAAAGGATGAATACTCTGATAGACCTCCACTGAGGCAGACACTTGAATTGTACTGTATCTACATAGCTGGGGTTCTGCCTGCTAGCTGCCTGCAGGAACTTGTCAGGGGAAACTTGTATAGCTCTGCATTACTTGGTACCAGATTTCTTCTATCTGTGTCTCCCAGTGACAGAGACTACCTGTTTCCCAAAA